GTATGGAATTTTCAGCGTGCATTACAATATTGCATCTAATTACCTGATAAATTTTATAAGATTTTAAAAATAAAAAGCAACAATAACAAAAAGAAAAAAAGATAAATAAAAGAAATAAAAAAGAACAGCATTGCATTCACATATTTAAACAATGCACCACAGGATATGAAATATAAAATTAGTCTGTAATAGAATATATGAGCAACAATATAATAGTAACAAAGAAAGGAGAACAAAAGCTAATGGGAACTATTTGTTAGAGTGCCACAGTAAGTTGATCGTGTCATACCTAACAGTTTTCTCATCACATAACAGCTGTGCCAGATAAGGTATTGTGGAGCTTTTGTACTTGTTAGTCCTGGCATATAGCCTTCTATAGTTGCTTCTAGTTCTACCAGATGAAATGCAAGGAGAGAGCTGCGTATAGAGAGGGTGTTCGGGGTCTGACAATATAGAATTCGCTAGTTTCTTACATGACATTATATGTCTATCCACAATAGTGTTAACCAGTTGGTTTAACGAAATCCCACTTCCCCTACTAACAGCTTTTAGTGCCCTACGCAGCGAAACAAAGTCTTTCTAATGTAGTCCAGGAAAGATTAATTGGGAGCAGTAAAGAGGGATGTTTAGAATACAAGAGTTGACAAACTGAAAAAGCAAAGACTGCTTTATACCAGACTGCCTTAACTTCCTAACCTAGAACTTTAAGCGAAACATCTTTCTAGTAACTAGCAAGATGTGAGAGGACCAGGAAAGATCGGAGGAAATACTCAGTCCAAGGTACTTGACATTAGATGTAGTTTCAACCTCTATGCTGTCAATGATAGTGGGACCATGTGAGCTAGCTAGTTGTTGTAGGTCACTTTTTCGTCTGAAAGTAAAATTTACTACCTGACATTTAGACGGATTCAGCTTAAGACCGTTTGAAGAGGACCACTGAATAATTTCCGACAGAAAGTTATTTAATTTGGAACAGTCTGACTGAGAGTTGACAGGCATGGAGACAGAGAGGTCGTCAGCATACTTGACAAAATTTGCTACATCAGAATGGGGCAAGTCATGTAAGAAAAAAGAAAACAGAAAAGGAGAAAAAACAGCCCCTTGAGGAACACCAGCTAAAGTAAGTGAGGTAGTGGAGAACTTTCTATTGTAGACGGTGTACTGCTTCCTATCAGAAAAATAGGAATGCAACCACTTATTTGTCCAGCTCTCACTCTGTGTTGCAGCAATCTTACTTAGCAAGAGAGACCTAGGTACAGAGTCAAATGCAGATGTGTAATCAAGGAAGACACACTGAACATATTTGGCTCCTCTATCTAAACTAGAGACTATATTATGATATAGAACAACAGCGGCATCTAAGGTATACCTACTATGTTTATAAGCAAACTGGTTGGGGTCATTGAAAGGCTTTAAAGAGGGTTCAAGATTAAGTAAAATAAGTCTTTCCATAACTTTAAAAAAAGTGTCGGTGACTTTTCAACTGCTTATGTTCATCAGTAGGACATAGTGCAAGACTATCTAGGCGAATTAGTTGTGACACGTCAGCTGTCGTTATAAACAGAAAACGCATTGCAGACTAAAATAAGGTTTTAGAAGACGAAAGAAAATTTGAGCAAAGAATATTCTTTGCGATAGTTTCCTCTTCCGGCTCTGTAATTATATATATATATATATATATATATATATATGCATATTTATCTACACAGAATATTCTAGAATAGTCACCATCAACAATATTGGTGTTTTTTTAACAAGTGTCGATTTGTGAAGATGGCGGAAATTACAGTTCAAGAAAGACGCATAAGTTACAATAGGCATGAAAATATAGTAACAAATAGAATATCTAATAAAATTAAGGAAATCTCTACGAAAAATTAAGGGTCATTAAAATCTTGATGGCTTAGGTAGGGAAAGTGGTTGAACCAATTTCCTGTTTTGGAAACATAGGTTAGGTTTCTTTATGCAGATTCCAATAGCCTCAGCAATATATAATAGCCGAGCTTTTGAGATGAAATTTAGGTCAGTTAGTATGCGGTAGATGACTTTGAAAGCCACCTTGTTTACATTAATTTTGTGTTCTGTATCCACGCGATGAGATAGAATAGAACTTTGAATGGACTTTGTTTGTCCCTTGCTTAATCACGCAGGGTGGTGTTCAGAAATTCGACGATAAACATGCCTATGTAACTAACTAGACAGGAGCAGTCAAAATGTTAGATACATATAGAAGGAAAGTTGAGTAGTATATCTTTAACTCGAGAAGAAAAAATAATGGTGGTTTTCAAGAGACAACACACTTCAGTGACACTGAGTGCTCTTTTCCCCATATTCTTTAAGCGTTATGTTACTATTTCACTTGTGTTATCACCGAGTAACCAAAGCTGTAAGAGCAAGGCTTTTTTCACATCTGTTGATACTTTGGATTGCTTTGGCCTTAGATTCATATTCGTATCGATAAATCTTCTTGAGTAACCGTTCTCACTCAGCAACTGTTTAGCAATAGTGAGCTCTTCATTAAGACATTCATCTGAACAGATTGCACTTGCTCTGTAGACCAAGCATTTTATTAGATGGCGTTTGTATTTCAAAGGCAAGAAGTTGAAGAAATGAGTATACTGACTAGTTGATGTAAGTCTTCTGTATGCACTTCTTTTTATTATACCTTCCCCTTTTCTAGTCATTCGGACGTCTAGGAATGAAATACTAGAGTCTCTTTCTGTCTTGTTGATTGCAGGATGGACATCATTAAACTTGTCAAGGATGTTCTTTGCTTAATCCTCATAATCAAAAATGTACCATCCATGTACCGACAGTAGAATTCTATTTCATCAGTCACTCCTTTCAAAGGCCCATTCTCTAGTTTGGCAAGGAAAAGATCTAGTACAATAGATCATAGTAGTGACTTCATTGCATTGATGGTTCTGTACTGTCTCACTTTGTGGACACAGATTACAAGAATGTCCGACTCTTCACTGGTAGATCAAGCAGTTGCCCAGAATTTGGTTGCTGAGATCAATCTGAGTGAACCATTGCTTTTATTTACCTAAAACATACAAAACCATGATCTGGGTTTTCTAAAAATTGTCTCAAACTTGGCTTACTAACATTACAGGTCGATTGTTGTAACAGGTTTCTTAAAAATGAGGTAGTTTATAGTATATATGCCCTGTTGTTTTTGTGACTGACACTAAGCACAGGTGATTTCGACAACTGACAGTTTCACAAACTGAGTATACTTCCAACAGTCATCTAACTGACGTTTGTTGTTCAGCTTTTCAGAAACGTGTTTAAGTGTTAGTTTGAGGGGAATTTGATAAGCTTCAAGTTTGATCAAGGATTGCTGTAAGTTTAATACAAATACAAAATCACTCATACCAAGCAGTCTCCTTTCCATTCTTTGCACATCGAGTACAATACATAGCTCCAAGGCTTTCACTTTTTTCAGAAGCGCTGTGGTTTTATTTTAAGTGGAAGGTGTGTGGTTGTCAGCCACACGTTCAGCCTTCTCCGTTTTCTGAAATTATAACAGGCTGGTAAACTAAGTCGGATTTAAGGGGTTTTCGGTTGGAAATGGAACCAGTCAGAATTCACCTGTAGCTGGCGAGAATTGTACTGTCGAACTACTGATACATTCTTCAAATAGCAACTCTGATGAATTCACATATCAAACCGTATACTATGCCACTGATGAACTCGAATCAGGGATAACACACACATAAGCAATTCTTTCTGTGGTACGTCAGTACGTTAGTAGTAAAATATTCGCTTACCACCCAAGTGGTTTGGGTTCGATTCCCGGCTGTTGCATTCCTAAACTTTTCTCAGCTGTTAATGATACTGATACAGACAGAAACTACTGCTTCTCGTGAAACTCTAAATCCAAATTTGAACACAAATGAATGAAGAGCAAGTAGAAATTCAATTAGGTGAATATTCACACGCTGATAATGACAAAAAAAGTATCATACAATACTGTTGAAATACCGGGCAGTAACGATTTCAACTTGAAGGAAATTAATGTTGGAAGGTACAAGCATACTAAATGATACGATATCATAAACAAGTGATAATTCTATAACCTTTTTGTTTCTTCTTCTTTTTTACTCACTGACTACCATTGAAATGTTCTGATGAGTTTTCACAGTGATACTATTGATCAGAGGTTCCTTATTCACTTGTTTGTTCAACTCTCATCTCTATTTTTCGATGCTCACCACCGACTAGGCGTGGTTAGACAGAAGGTGCATCTACAGGAAATTGAAACCGGACCTCCAGAATCGCTGGCGAGCATTCTACCACTAAAAAACAGACACATATGTGTGTATATATAGTTGTCGTTGAAATTTACTCTTTATTATTAAAGGCATGAAATGATCGCAGTTTCTCCCTTATTCATGCTTCGACTTTCAGATGAATGCTAAAAGAAGTGGGCACTTAGTTGCTGTTTGAAAATTTAGAATAGGGTAAATTATGTCAACCAAGCCGATTCAGGAGATACTTACTGGTTGTTGCCATCATGTGACTGTAAGACTGTATCAAGAAATGATAAAATCAAGTTCGTGTGACATTTGGTCAAAATACCCAAATAACTAAATGGTAAGCCACTTACTTGATGACTGAAACGCTTAAGATTTTCTCTCAAGTAAGCGAGCAGGGAAGCTAATGTTGGAGGAACCTTGAGTTAGGACAAAATACTTATCCTACAGTGTTTGGTTTTCAATGAATTTTTCCACATATAACATCCAGTGCGTAACGAAATCTGCCTAGATTTATAAAAACAAAAAAAACCCAGCTTTCCCTACTTGTAAATACACTCTAGTGTGACTGTCTAACTGAATTTATCTCAAATAGGTGTGAATCACATTCATTCCTTTCTTCAAGGTATTAATTCGCGCATTTGTTGTTTTTCCACTTCAGTTGACGTCAATTATTGGAATACTTCTACGAATACTGTTGTTATTATAAAGTAAACTATTGTGTATACTGTGTAATCAATCATGGGGAATTTCGTTGGACCTAGAAAAAAATTATCAAGAGAAGATTTAACTTTTCTTAAAGAGAATACACATTTCACTAAAAGACAAATAAAACAATGGTACAATGGATTTATAGTAAGTTATTGATTAATTGATTGATTGAATAAATAAATAATCGATAATTATTTTGTTATTTTGTTTATGACCCTTAACAATGATAAGATCAGTGGAATGCTGAATGTTGGACAGTAACTGGTGGTGTTGTGACCAGTCGTAGCTTTTTAAATGAACTCTGATTACACTAGAACTTAGGGAATAACTATTCGAAGATAGAAGTAACTTTTGGCATTAGATGGTTCGAGGCAATCAGCAGGAAGCCTTGGACATCACCCAGGTTTTGTGCTAATTTGCACTCATCAGTAAGACGTATCTGCAATCTCGAAGAAGCTCATGTCACTTCTGAGATTTGAACCTGTGTCACCCAGTGATTATTGCAGTCAGGGACGTTACCCCTGAGCTCTTCAGGCTCACGGTCGACCTCCTGCAAGACTGTAATGAATATTTCTACTTTCTTTTTGGTTATAGCTTGAAACCACACAGTGTTTTAGGTACAAGTATGGAATTTTCAGCATGTGATATCGGTAGCCCAAATTTTGCAGGCCGACCATAGATATCGGATGTGCGTTGGCAGGAGATCGAACCTCGGACCATGTGCATGGTCGGTGAGCATCCTAACCACTGTGCCACCGGCGCAGTGCTGGCGAGCCACCTAGTGGCATGTTGGCCACATTGCTAACTTGACTGATAGAATCCAGTCTGTACCGAAGATGGGACTAAACACATTACACTAGTTACTGACTAGTGTCCAACCAGAAGTAATTTTTATACCAAATATTTCAAAACTTATCTGTACTAGACTACAAATAATTGTCTTCTCTATTTATTCAGTTGTCAGAGTAAACACTGAAATTATCATTATTATTTTTTTTGCGCTAATTTCGTATTTCCTGTTGATTGTTTATACTGAACCGAAGTGATCTGTGTTTGTTGACATATCAGTTCCTAAATCGAACACCCCAAAGATTTCTAAAGATGAATATGATGTTTTCAAGTATTGGTTTTGTAGGAATTTTGATTGATTGCGTGGAGGATTTCATCATGAGCTGACATCAGTTAAAGAACCACTGGAAAACCTGGGAGTACTGGACAGGTGTTTCGTTCTAGTTTAGGACTCTCCATCAGTATGCACCCACCGGGATTCGAACCCAGGACCTTCTGGTTACAAGGCGAGCTCGTAGACCATTGAGCCAGTGGTTCTCTAACTGATGTCAGCTCATGATGAAATCCTCCACGCAATCAAATAAAATCCCTACAAAACCAATACTTGAAAATTAATCTAATGCTCACCAGTGACGGGCCCTATTCAGGCAGTTAACCTGGGGTTCTAGTGGGAAGCCGTGACCAGTAGGGTATAGCAGGCTGAAGATGAGGCAGTTACTCATCGAAGAAGACAATGCGAAATGGTCGCGCTATGTCGTGAATTGGCAGAAGTTAGAATTCAAGGACCATTGGATCGGGTCCCAGTGGCTTAGTGTTCTACGAGCTCGCCATGTAACCGGAAGGTCCTGGGTTCGAATCCCGGTGGGCGCGTACTGCTGAATATGATGTTATCTGATGAATGGTGAGTAGTAATAGAATCCACGATGGTCACTCACGCCTATTTGGTATTCATCAGCAGGATTTACCTGCAATCCTCAATGAGTAAAATTGCTCCTACTGAGACTATGTATGTATATGTGCGTGTACACGGTTCCCTGTGGTAATGGTGAAGTGAATGCTCTTATGCATCTTATCAAAGTCGTGTAAGTGTGAATTGTCAGGTTTATATTGTAAATCAGATGACGCCATGCAAAGATAATTACCGGAACAGTGTTCACCTATTTCTCCTTACAGTCACATTTACATTATATTTTTATTTGTTTTATTTGTTCCATACTATTACTATTAATATTATTATTACTCCTTTGTATTGGGTCACTACTGTGAAGACTTAAGGACAAGTAAGGTCAACACTGAGGTTATTCTATTGTATTCTCTCATTTTGGCGAGTCCTATTTTAACCAATGAATTCTATGTGATGACAACATGCCAAAACCATGAATATGACCTATACTATGATCAGATCACAAATAAAATGGGTGGCTTATAATGAGTGTTCAAGAAAAAGATTTCTTTGAAATATTGAGAAATCCCGTTTCTTGTCCATTCTTCATCTCTGTTAGATAATTTTAACATAAAACTAAAATTTTGACGACAAAAAAAGGTGTAACACTTCATGATAAAATGTAAGTAGTTTTCATTTTTACTTGAAGTTTTTAATGTTGTTTACATGACCGATCCATGTGAACTAGCCGATTCCTACTGACTTACTTGTCAGTACAACAATGCGGTTAGCCGGTATAGTGTTAATTCTGGAGGCGAAGTCTGTCGACGAAGTTCTCAAAAAGGACCAGATTGGAAAAGAGTTAGAAGTGTTCAAATGAAAGTATTGCAACAGTTGAAGACGAGAGACTTCATAAAGGAATGTTTATTCTGGAATTTGGTATCGCTATATGCCGAAATTATGCACACCATATGTCCAAATCACCCCCTTTCCGCAAAAATCTTCCGTGTTTTGCTACTTCTGGCCTTCATGTTATGTTTCTTTGTGTTCCTTTCATGTCTCCCCTGTATCTTCACAACGCTGTATCATTTGCTTCCTCTGACATCAAATCTATCCACCTGCTATTTGATGTTTTTATGTCGATGAACATCTCTTTATATATACTACTAATATGTCCTATCAGTAGCGCACGCCACAATATAACGTCAGATCCTCCTTGTTTCGGACTATTCACACAGCTACGACTCCACCCATGATCTTTAGGCGACAAGGTGAACTCGTATGCCAGTGAAATACTGAGACGGAATCCAGTAATTAACACATCAGCTCTAACTTTTATTCTCACGACCGGTTTGATGAAGTTCACTGATCACCACTTCTGCTATAGAATTTCGGGCAACTTCGTCTTGTGGTCAATCACTGGTAAGTACAACTAGATCCATGGTGACGAAATCTCAGCATGGATCCAAAAAGCTCGGGCTGCTTTCGCTAACTTATACCGTCTCTGGCGTAGGCATGACATCCGGCTATCAACCAAGGGACGTGTGTACTGCTCAGCAGATCGTTCCGTCCTTCTCCATGGCTCTGAAACATGGCCAATACGAGTTGAAGACATGAAAAGGTTGACTGTTTTTGAACATAGATGTCTACGATCTCTTTCACACGTTAGGTGGTTTAATAAGGTAAGTAATGTCGACGTTAGGCGTAGAGTGTTGGGCAAGGAGGGAAAATCAATTGAAGAGGCTATAAAGTTACATAGATTGAGATGGCTAGGTCACGTCCTGCGCATGCCTAACCATCGCCTCCCCCGATGGGCATTACTAGCTGATATGGGTGCAGGTTGGAAAAGAGTAAGTGGTGGCCAAACAAAAACATGGCCTCATCAATCCATGAGATCCTTAACAGTTAAACTGAGTCAGTTAGGGAGATGCAGACTTCCGGGTTGGGGCCCTCGGGACTCTAAGAATCAATGGCTGGAGACAATAGGTGACATGGCTCAAAATCGTTGTCAATGGCGCAGATGTATTCAGTCTCTGTGATCTTTCATATTCCTTTCTACCATTACTCATTCTGTTTCACTCTTATACTTATCAAAACTCTATTGATTCTCTTCACTCATTTTCTTGTCTACCTTTGTGTGCTATTTGGAAGGTGGCAACTCGAACTGCTGCACTTTGGTGCCAAGTTCTATATTAAATCCAGCCAGCCAGATCCATGGTAAGGTCTTAGGTGTCTGCTGACTGACTGGAGACTATTGTTTGGTAATGCTCACAGTCTTTAACGATGGTGCGGTAGTTTTCTTGACTTATCATTACCCTGATTTTGAAAATATTTACTAATATCAAAATAATTTTTTTTCTTTGTCTCTATAAGTCTTTCTCGATTACATCATCAGCCATTGTAGTTTTATCCTATTTATTTTAACCTCTTTTATGAACGCGTCAATGAAGTATGACAACTAGAAGTGGTACATTTGCTTCCAAAGTTTTACGCTTATCATCCATTCCATTGGATATATCGGTGCACTGTGAATACCGAAATCAAACTCAACTGAAATTTTATATTCAGTCAAGATGTTAACTACGAAGAGTCAGAGAGTTGTAGAGGAAATTATTTCCTTATATAAAAGACATCTATAAGAGTTAAAGGAATGATGAGTAGCAATCAAGTATAGTGACAGAATCTAAGGAGTTGTTTTTTTGGATTGGGGCTGCTAGCTGGTGTAACTAACATCCTCTGCTAAGCTTTGCGGTAACCTGGTGTCAGACTGTGTTTAATCGGTAGCGTATTTCAAAAAGATATATCAGGAAATTTTCCCCACCAAGCTGCCAGCGAATGTAAAGGAAACACAGCTTAGTAAGCGTTACTTGTCCCTCACATACTGGCTGTTGTCTTCGTCCATATCGAACCTAACTGAAGCAACCGGGATAATAGCAAGGTGAAATAGACTACCAGGATTCTATACCTGTGTCTTTATTATCTCTAATTAAATCAGTATTTGGGGGCAAATTTTTTGTATTCTGATTTCATTAGGAATGTTTCTCGGGGAAATGAAGACAGCTCACTAGGCCTACTAAAATAGTAGATACATAAGGGTGCTATTCATCCAATTATCTCAATATATAAATACAACATAAGTAACATCGTAGTTTAGCTAATTTTCTTTTGATAGACAGTAACATCCAGAACTTGTTTATTCTCTCTATGACCCATCATTTAGATGTATATGGAATATGGAAATTATTGCTATTCCAACTCAAAGTTTACCCTAGCACCAGGTAAGGCTGTAAATGCATTAACCTTGTAAATCTTCAGAATACACTGATAAAACGCATAATAATGATGGTTATATTTTGCAATTTCTGCATTCTGAGTTAGTCTTACTTATTTCGATTGAAATGGCAGAGAGACAACAGTTTCCAAGTGCCTGTACACATTTACCCCAAACACTGACAGAAGTCCCTGGAGTTAA